GGGCGAGGGAGATCAGTCACCAGCTTTTAGACAGCCGCTCATGGAGGCTGCTGGCCGCTCAAGCTGGCTGCTGGCTGCTCACGTTGGCTGCTGGCTACACACGGTAGCCCATGGCAACCCACTGCAACAATGGCTGCAGCCTACTCGGTCGCTGGCGACTCAAGGCAACCCAGCTCCAGGTTGAGCTGTTGTTCAGCATCTTAGCTGTAGAGGGCAGTGTCACTGACCCTCATATGTGGGATCTGAACCGGGGCCCTCTGGCGTCCCAAGCCAGCTCTTAACCATTGCTCCACTCGGCCGGCCCACCAAACACTTTTTTTTAAAGTTGGCATGCATTCAAAGTCTATTTGTGGGATCTGTTCCTTCAACTTAAAATTGCACCAGTCTGATCTCATTTACAATCAATTGAACATAAGTACTTCTTGACAATAATATGCTCAATTGCTACTTACTTTGCTGTTTGTGTTTCTATGGACAAGATAATTTAAGAAAAAAATCATGACATAAAAATTGCCAGGCTTTAAAATGTTACTTATATGGTTCTTTTCAGTATAATGTAAAGGAGAGAGAAATAGCAATACAAAATGTAAATTAAAAGGTCAAATTTCTAACTTATTTTATATCAAATGAGAAGACTTTCTAAGAGGAAGTATCAGAGTAGTAGAGACTAATCAATAAACCATGCTGACAAAGAATGTCAAGATAAAGTCAAAGTAAAAAGCAATTCACCTCCAGCATTATACTTGTGAGTTTATGCTAAACTTGATAACTTTTTTAAATGCAGCTTATGTGGGAATAACATTTCAGGCCACAACTGATTACTTAATTGAATCCTTATTGTAATTACAAGGTTTAAAATAGTTCTCATTTTAAAGATGTCCATTGAATTCCTATACATTCTATACCATGTTTCTTTTTAATATATTTATTCTTCCCCTGTAATTAACTCCATCATCTAGCTTCTAACCTTCACATCCGATCTCATAAAGCAAATATTGTTCTCCCAATTACGAGTAATTTATTGTCTCAATTTTATCTATAGTTCAAGAGGAAAAAAATCTTTAAGAAAACCACATATGAACTAAACCCTCTTGATGAACCTTTTGTGTTCAAAGTCCTTAATTTTTAAAATAACTCTTCAGCTTTATATGCACAGTATTATAATCATTTTACACTTATGAAGATGTGATCTGTCTAGGATCACAAAGTAAGTTAATGTTTAAAGTAGAATTAAAATTGTGACATTTCCTTTATCTCAGATTACACTACTCAAATATTTCCCATGAATATCTAAGGAATTTTCCTATTTCTAAAGTAATAAACATGGACATCTTAACCTAAAAATGTATATGTTACACACACACACAAATACATATCATACACACAAAGACAGCAAATTAAAATGGAAAACAACTCTTACCTTCATCTCCCTCTGGTACATATGAAGCTGTAATAATGTCAATATCAGCACAATTCATCACAATCTGATTGGTTGCCTGCTTCACCTAAGGGGAAAGAAAAACCAGCAGTGTCAGAAACAGCCTAGATTAATAATATGTGTATCTTCATCCCAGTCTAATGCATGTTGCAGGCAATTTTTAAAAACCAGACATCACTAAAACCTAAACTGAGTATTTATGCATCAATGGTAGAAATAAATGAGTTTTAAGTAATCCAAAGCAATTCACATTTTCCAAATTATATTAAAAGTAATAATAAATATTTAAGTATTTCGCAGAATTTAAACATCTGACCCGTGAACTAAAATAAAAACAAATTTTTCTGCTTAAATCTTGATTTATAACCACTTTTTTTCTCATTTAGTGAAGAGTTTTACTCAAAAGCTTCTCAGCACTATCTAGTTTTTAATTTATAACCACTCTTAATTTTTAATTTCAAAAAAAATTTTTAATTAGCAAACATTTCTTATATGTTGCAATTAATTATGTATTGTAACCTGTACATCATACCCATCGTGAGACCCTTTAGAGAAAGAAAGCTGATATCATGAACTATGTCAAAACTTCATAAAACACTCTTTAAATTTTTTCTTTTCCCAAAGAAACATTTTGGATGTAACAGATACTAATGACTAACTACTAAGATTAAATGAAGTTTTAGGACTTTGTCTTATTTGCTTCAGATCCAAAAAAATAAAATATTGAAATAACAACAGCACTTTTTTTTCTTCCTCATTCCCTAGATATAACCACTATCCTAAGGCTAATGTATATCTTTCTCGTGTATGTTTAGTACTTTTGCTACATGTATAAAGATCAGCAAACAATGTTTTCAATTTTATACAAGTGGTATCGAATTGCATAGAACCTTTTGCAGTCTGTTTTTTTTCATTTAATATTGTTTCTGAGATGGGTACATGCTCACAGATGTATATCTAATCCATTCATTTTTAACTCCTGCATAGTAGTATTCCATTCTATAAATAAACCAGTTATTTATCCATTTCCTTCCTGAAGGAAGATAGGTTATTTCCACTTTCTTGTTATTCAAGGTGTCTTGTTGTCTCAACTGACACTCGCATGAAGAATAAAGAAATCCCACTTTCAGCATCCTCCAAAAAAATTAAAAATTGTTGACAATCTGATGGGTACTAAATGGTATTCCAATGTTGTTTAAATTAGAATTTCTCTCATTACTAGTAACATTGGTTACTAAGCATTTTTTTTTTGCCACTATGTTTTTCCTCTGCAAATTGGTTGTTCATAACTCTTGCCCATTTTTCAATTTGATTGTAATCTTGTTTTTATATACTGGCTACATTAAACAAAACCTCAAATTCATTTTTAGACATTTGAATCTTCAGAATCTAAAATAACAAAAATACTAATTCCCTAAATCACAAACAAATGCCTGCAGAGGCCAATCAAGAAGGTGAGTGCAGTAGGCCAGGTAAAACGTATGCATAAAGAAAGGGGAGAGTAGCCACTTCTTGGAGCCAGCCAAACAATTACTGCTATACTGAAAAGCAGACTTAGTGTTTGTTGACAGATCTTCCAATTAAAAGCCACAAATTCAGATTTCATGTGCATTCTCCCAATTTTTAATGGATGGTAACTAATTCAAATTTTTCAAAAACACTGTACAGACCAAACAAAACTCATGTGTAGGTCAATAATGCCTTGAGATCACTGAACAGACCACAAAACTAGGTAAGGATACAGGAGTAATGTAATATCTGTATGAAGAAGCTATACTTAAGAGTAATCATTTTATTAACAGCCAATACATAAACATGATTAATTTTAAACTAAAATTATCTGGCCTATATTACATGCAGTATGTTATTATGCCTATAACAGACGGTCAAAATCTCTAACACACAAAGTGAAACTATTTTGTCTCATTAAAAAAAAATCCTCCTCATAAATCAAATCTTCCTGTTTCTAAACAAAAAATGTCATTTAATGAGCATAATTTTCAAATTTAGTAAGTGGTAATATTCCTTTACAGTTTATTTCACCAGAACATTCCTAAAACAGAACTTAAGCTTTTATGTCCCAACTGGCCATTGATGGCACTACACGTGAACAAAAAGAAAAAAATCTTTTGCCTAGTCATAAAATGACTTTTAAAAATTCAGAAACAGAGAAATGACGCATTTACTGGGTGTGCTTCAAAGGGTACAATGAATAAAACCTTCCAGAGTTTGAAGTTTATGCCAACAGAATAGTAACAGTGGTTTAGTTACGCATCGTAATCTTTATCTAGGCAACTATATTTTCATCCATCAACATCTACAGTGAATTTAATGGTAGCCAAGCAGTTAATCTACCAATATCAAGATACCTGTATAACAATACATATTCATATGCCAAATGACATTTATCTCACTACTATTGTAACATTCTGAAGGAAAATGTGTACTTTGGATAGGCACAGTGCACTACATCCAGTTACAAGGACAATTCAGTTCCTCCTGTGACTAGGGAAAACCCACCTGTTTATACTAACGAATTAAGCTACTTGTTGAATAGCTACTATTTTTTTTTTTTCAGGAATACTGCCATTTCTGAAAGGGTGGGAGGAAAGACCCAAAGAAACAAAAATATTTATCTTAATAGAACTCCACTCAAATTTTACAAATTGGACAGTATTTTCTGTCTCATATTAGAGATGCATTTTAAACAATAGGATAATCCATAGAAAGTGCTTGTTGTAGTATTTAGCATCTGATACATACTAATCACTTAATAGATGTTGTTATTAAGGCACATACACAGAGATCAAGATTAAATGTGCTCTAATCATAAAGATGTTACTCTAAATATCATCTAACAGCATTCACCTAACAGTTTATAAAGTGCCTGATCAGAATGATAAAATATTTAAGAACTATGCGCTATAATATATGGCTATTTTAATATCAGCATATATGCACTGCCCAAGAAAGGTAATTTAAAAAATCCATATAGACTTCAGCGTATGCTTAAGCGTTGGACACCACACTATATAATTCTGTTGTTTTTGATGCTTTCCCAACAATAGCACTGAGCTGATGATTCAGTATGTGATTTCTCACATATTAACATCATCATGTTAGTGAATATTACCTGTGTGTTCCACTATCAAAAATACAGGTAATAATGTAAAGGAAGTTCAGTTTAAGATCTTCAGTTTCCAAGCTTAAAAGAGAAGCAAAATGTTAAAGTTGGTATATAAACTGAGTTAATAACAAGCTCATTTTCAACTTTTCCATTTGATGCTATTAAAGAATGGAAAGTTAGTGTATCCTTGTTTGTTTCAAATCCAGGGTTAAGTCTTCTTGGAGTCCTGTACAGACTACATTTCAACTGAACCAATGCTAAGTAATGGCTCCACTGAAGAGGCAGCTTGACCACTGGTAACAATTTTACAGTGGAAGTTTCCTATGAGTTAGGAAGGCAGTAATCTGAGACAACTTTTTTTCCTGAATGAGTCTTTACTACAATCACTTAGGAATGCACTTTACATGTACTATAGTAAGAAATCAAAGGGTTTTTTTCAGATTGCCAAAGTCCTGAGATTTTAGTAAAAGGAAATCTCCAGTGTGACAATTACAAATACCAGTCAGTCTGAATGAAGCCTGAGTCACTTTGCCTGACAAGCGATCTCACCATTAAAATTTTGTAATAACTGTTGTCTTTGTGGAATAGGGCTATAATTTCTAAAGACAATAAGGGGCAAATAATTAGTAAACAAAGTTGAGCCAAGTTTTCTAACAAAAGAGACACTGAAAAGAGCAAATGACAGAAAGTCATAATAAGTACCATTAATGTAAAAATGTTAAACATACAAAACATTGCTATTTATTGTCTGTGGATAGTTATATATGTAATAAAACTTTCCAACTATGCATAGGAATACTACTCACCTACCTACTCAAGAGAGAAGTTGCCTCTGGGGGTTAGGGATGGGAAGAGATGGAAATGGGCTTTAGTGGTATCTGTGATATTTTACTTCCCAAAAAACATCATGCACTGTCTGAAGCCAACAGGACAAAACTTGGGTAGTGGGCTACTTTTCTGTATTTCTAAAATATTTCCTAATTTAAAATAAAATTCTATAGACATTACAAGTAAACTAAGAACTACATAGTGGTATGGTGTTCAAAATGAAATGTCCAAGATGTGGAGAACTAATCTCAGTTAACAACAAAACAGCTTTCCGAAGACTCAGTCCTTTGCCACTAACTCACATACAGATTAAAATAAGACTTACTCTACAATATGAACGGGTTCATTTACATAGCAAAGTTCAGAGAGGTTTCATAGATAATTTACTACATAAGAGCACATTTATCCAGGTTGTATTGGACAATATCAATTATACAGAACCAGGAAGTTAAAAAAAAAAAAAAGCCTGTATGGAAAGCCAGAATAGATGATACAAAGTTCATACAATAAAGCTCATACTCTTCACTCAGAAGAGAAATCCATCAAACCCTCACTTAGAAATTTATTTTTAAGCTCAAACAAGCTTGTTTATCTGGTTACTTGGACCTCTTCAGATCAAGTTCAGTAAAATAGAAGAGGGAAGAAATTGCACAATAGGCAGCAACAAGGCACAGTAAGCAGCAAGAAGTAATAACCTGAGAGTAAGGAAAACAAACAAGAAAACTTTAATGAACAGATAATGAAATCAATAAATCATAGTACACAGTTTTGGGTCATCTACGGTTATAAGTATCAATGACACATGTTCAGAATGATGTCCAGTATTTTAAAAAAGAAGAAAAGAAACAAACCTAGATCATGAGGAATTATAGAGTTTAAGAAAATACATTTTAGGAGTATTTCCACCCAAATCAGTAAATGTTTTGTTTTTTTTCAATTCTAAGTGCCTCAAAGGGTAAGCTTCATTTATCTGGGAAATTCACCACAGAATTCATTGGCAGATGATATTAGATAAAGTTTAACATATAAAAGCTTCTTAGGTGTTTCCTCATAGATACATTTATAGAAACAGAATAGGAAATCTAACAAATTCAATTCCTTGTCAATTTTTCAAATTTAATCTCTTAAGACCATTTAGTGATCTAGTTCAATGTTAGACAAATTATTAATTTTATCATCTTTTAAAGTAAAAAACAAACAAAATGACTGCATAGAAAATAAGCAAAATTTGGGCAGAAAATTCCATAACACAGGGTTGACAATAACATCCATTTAGATGCCAAGTTTTAGCCTGCCAAACAAACTACTATATCTGTAACTCTCCTCTAAGTGCCAATTTAGTCATCACCAACATAATATTTTGTTGGTGGAGGCCAGGGATTGTCTAGCATATCCTGACTTCTGGCCTTGAAGGATGAAGTTAATTTCCCTGGCACAGGTATAACATTTCCATAAGAAAAAGCCCAACTGCTGTATAAACCACTACACAATCATAACAAGGAATTGTAGCCACTCACATAAACTTGTAATTTATTTTTAAATTAATTATCTACAAAGCAAGAGAGTTAGAGTTTGAAATAGTTACAAAAATCCGTTGCTCTCAAATATCCTAATGTAAAAGAGAGGAAAGGGAATGTCCCATTTCTCTAGGCCCATGATAACACCTTTTCAAAACCTGCTGAATTAGACCAAACTACTTTTGAAATTAGCACACACTAATTTCTTCACCTTCCCCAGGAGTACACACCCAGACCAGGTTAAAAATCCACTAAATTTCTAATATGTAACCTGTACAAATACTCTGGGCTTATCATAAAATTCTTCAACTAAAGCAACCAAACAACTTGCATACTTTGTGTAATGTGATTTCAACTATTAGAAAACTGACCCAATACCAGTTATAAATTAGGGTTTCTAGAGATATAATTTTGTCTACATTTTTAGATTTCAACAATAAGATACCATCTAATGCCACAATTCAAACTTACTGCTCCAATCCATGGATTTCAAAAACATTAATATGTTTTGGGGTTTTTTTGCTACTGTTAACTTTTTACTAATGTTAATTCCACTTTACACTTCCAAAGGTGGCAATGCATACAATTAAAAAGTCCAATCATCCTTTAATAACACCTGTTAGAATTCACTATAATGCCATCTTTCATTTGTGTTGCCACCTAGCCTGAAAAGAATGTCTGAAAAGAAATGCTTTGAGAAGCTCATATTACTAAAAAAGATTCATCTATTTATTTCCTTGGTACCAAACTGATAAGTCCCTGCTAATATCTAATACCTAATATTACCATGTGCTCACTCAATGCCCTAAACCAGTCTTCTAAATATTTCTCATTTCTTTGAAAAAGTAGAAAAGGGGGAAGGAGGAGCACATTACTGCTTGTTGTTCTATCCTAACACTTAAATAAAACTGTCAATAATAAAATAATTATTTAAAACCTTAATTGGCAATTTTTTCCTGAAATTTTTCTCTAAATATGTATTCCTCTCAGAATTATGAGGCCATCATGCTAACAAATGGGATAAAGAAACAAATGATTTTTTTTAAACGTTAGTCTTTTCACATAATGCGAACTCATTCATCGCTAGGTCCTTCTTTCTTTGCCAAGTCACAAGACACATTACTGTTTACAATCCCTCCCATCTGCCCCCTGCCAATATATATCAAACACTCTAGTCACTTGGCTTAAACAAATATAGTCTCCCAAATAACACTCTCAAATCTGAATTTAGACCCAAGATGCACTCATTCTGGTTCATATTCTTAATGGAAAAATTCTAAATCACCTTACTTTCACAGGATTAAGTTTTGCCTTTTGAGACAAGCAAGGCCCTAGAGCCCCCTTACTCAGTGCCCTCAACCTGACAGTATACTTTTAAATGCTATACTTTTCGATATAGTTTTAATCTGAGTACTCAGCTTTCAAAGACAACTGCCAACTTTCAATTCATTCAAACATTAGTCTACATTTCTTTCATTTTACTGCTACATACACACCCTGTTCTTTAAGGTTGAGGCCTACTGATTTTTCCCCGACTGCAGTAGGAAAAGAAATGAAACAAAATATATTTACCATCATTCTTTCTAAAGATAACTACTACACAGTTCCCATTTTTTCATTACAAACTTCACATAATACATCATATAACATGGTATCACAAACGTCTGCTGTCCCGGACCTTTGTGGGGCATCAATATTAATGGTCTCCAAAATCAAACAATACTTCAGATAATGCTGCGAGGGGGTGGGGGGGAGGTGGGGACAGCATGAATCACCAAAAACTGCAATGAAGAGTAATGGAATATTTTAACCAGTGGTATGCTAAAACTAATAGCTTCTTTCAGAGGAGGGTTACTGCTAAGCAACAATCGCTGTAGCAATAAATCCACCTGCTTCAAAGGCTGCAAAGCTAGGAAGATGGGAAGAAAAGCGGAGATAGGGGTCCTCCTGCAGCTTCTCTAGGGGTTAGGAGAGAATCAAGTCACTGCTGCACTGTCACTTGAGGAGAAGGGGAGGGGGAGGGGCGGATCATCTTGGAAACCCAGCCCCTGGGCCGGAGCAGGCGAGGAGAACTCAGCAAGGCTGCCTGGGATTAACATTCTCCTTCTCGCCCTCTCCCCCTTTCTAGAATCTCCCCTCCTCGCTAACGCGCGGCGGCCAAGAGTCCCAGATGACCGCCCCTTCCAATGTATCCTCGGTGGGGCGTAGGGAGAACCAGAGAAAAGAACTGAGTCAGGAGGCTGAGACTCCGACAACCCCTCTGGCCTCTCCCAACACCCTCCAGCCTCTCCTACAACACTCTCAAGCCGGGAAGGGCCCGGGGTCAGAAGGATGCCCCACACAGGTGTCCTCGCCCCGGAGGGGCCCGCCGGGTCCCGCGGCACGAACCGCAGCGTGGCCCGGGGCCCCAGCCCAGCAGGGCACAGCACACCCGCCAGGGCGCCCCGCGGCCGCCCCAGAGGGGCGCGCCCGTCCCAGAGCCGGCCTCCCCAGCCCCAGGCCCCGCAGCGCTCAGGCCCTCCCGGCCAGGCCCCCAGCCCAGCCCGCAGGCGCGGCCTAACTGCTTGCCCAGCAGCTCGCCCCCAGCGCCCGAGGGTCGCCGTACCTTGGCGGCGGCCTCCAGCTTGCCCTCGAAGGTGAAGTCCAGCAAGTCAGGCTTGAGGCAAAGGCTGTAGTTGACTGGGGAGACATCGGCAGGCAGCCGCTCGAAGGGCCTCTTCTCCGGCATCGCTGTGAGGCCCAGGCTGTGGAGGCGGCGGCGGCGAGAGGAGCGGCTGAGGAGGAGAAGGAGGAGGGGAGGAGGCGGAGGGCCGAGGAAGAGCAGGCGGCGAGCGAGGGAGGGGGCGGCGGCTGCCAGCCACATCCACCGAGCGCGGGCGATCGCCAGAGAGCTACCGGGGGAGCGTGGGGGGGCGGGGGTGAGACCCAGCCCAAGCGCCCCGGGCCGGGAGGGAGTTAGTGCGGGCGGGCTGGCTGCCTACGGGGAAGGGGGCGGAGGGGAG